CTCCATCGAGAGAGCCTGTTTCGGGAACAAGTTTATCTGTACGTCGAAAGGAAACACCGGCAAACAGGGCAGTGGCGGCGACAGAAGAGAGATATGAACTATCTGCCACTCCCGTTAAGCAGCCACCAGCAAGGGCATTTCCAACTCGACAGTCGAGTCTCCGCGCACCTGAGCGAGCGCTAAGTACCAAACGCAGCGCCACTCGCTTGCAATTCTGGAAAAACCTCGAGCACAATCCCGTCAACCCTTCATCAGACTACTCACCCAGCGTTTCCGCGTCACCGCAGGTGTTTGAAGCAGACAGTCGCATGCTCTCGCACGCGAAGAAACCCAGCATCGTCGAATGCCGCAAGCCTATAGTATCCCGCAAAGCCAGCCGACGGGAAATGCACGAGCTGGACGGCAATCCTACCGAAAGAGGATCCCCAAGCCGCCAGCATAGTTCTCTGAGGAAGCCGACCGTGGAAGCGGAGAGCATCCCTGCCCGAGAGCGCAAGGCGAGCACGTCTGGAAGCCGCATCACCGGCCTTCGAAAACTCAGCACGGCCGACCTGCGCAAGCATCTTTACAGTCACAAAAACAGTGTGTCCTCGCTCAGTGCTCCCCAGCACAACAAGCCTCTACCTGCAGACCCTCCGGCAGCGGCACAGGAGAGTTCGCCGCCAAGCATCTCATCATACACACACAAACCCTCTCCCAGCACAGCCAGCTTCGTCTCCATTGCGAGGAAACCCGTCCCTCTACCCCAAATTACGGTGCCCTCGGGGCCTCGACTGCCGCCCAAAGACACAGATCCCACGGACCTCTGTCCCAAGAACCCCGACGATGCCTCGCCGCGAAAACTCCCTCCTTCGCCTGTGAAACTCAGCCGTGTCACCGACCCAGTGGATGTTGATGCCACGGAAAACGAGGGACAAGGCAACGCGAAAGAAGATTGCCTATCACCTACAAAAGACGGACAATATTCCCTAGATCCGCCGCTCTCGCCCTGGGTAAGGCTGAGCGTTCATGCCCCTACACTTGGTGAGCTGTCATTTGGTGGGGACTTGGGACTCGGGCTGGGAGATATCACGGGGTTTTCAACCAGTGATTGAATGTACGATTAGCCAGAATAATGCCTACGTGTGACGAGAGGGATGTCTGTATATAAAAAACCAGGACGATTGGGTCAGGGGCAAGTGTACAATAGCATCAAACATCAACCCACCCCCCACTGTAGTTGGTCTACCCTAACGCCAAGCGGGGCAACCTCACCCCACCTCCAAGCGATCGCATACTTCTCCATGGCCTACCTAGCACCCATCCACCGACCATCAAGCATACGACACGCGCTCCGCCTCAACCTTACCTCCCCCACCTCCACGGACCTCGTCATCGCCAAATCCAACCGTCTCGAAATCTGGTCCCCGTCATCCGCGTCCTCAGAGGGCTACACCCTCCTCCACTCTTGTACCCTCTACGGCAGGATCCTCCTCCTCGAATGGATCCGCCCATCATCCAGCACGAACGACCATCTCTTCGTCGTCACAGACCAATACAACTACTTCACCCTCAGCTGGGACTCTGAGCACCACACGCTAAAAACCTCGCGCGAATACGTCTGCTTCGCGGAAAAAGCCGCGCGGGATGGACAGTTTGGAGACCGCGTGCGTGTAGATCCGACAGGGAGGTTCATGGCGATTGAATGTTACGAGGGGATCGTGAATGTGCTCCCGCTTACGCGGGCACCGAAGAAGGGGAAGCAGAGGGTTGGAGGGGAGGAAGTTGTGGTTGAGGTCCAGGAGCAGATCCCCGTCCGGATTCCAGAGTTGGGTGTTAGGGATTCGTGTTTTGTTGTTTCGAGGGATGATAAGGCGAGGTTGATGTTGTTGTGTGAGGATGGTGATGACGTGGAGTTGAAGATGAGGGTTTTGGAGTATGGACCTTCGTTGAAGGGGGAGATGGCTACTGCGGATTTGGAGAGGGTGGAGAGGGTTGAGGGGAGGGTTGAGGCCGGGGCGAGTCATCTAATTCCACTTCCGTTGGGGGTGTTGGTTTTGGGGGAGACGAGTATTGCGTATGCGGATGGGAAGAAGGTTGTGACGTCGCAGCCGCTTGAGGAGCCGACGGTCTGGGTGGCGTGGTGTATGATCGATAACCAGCGGTATGTCCTCGCAGATGACTTTGGACGCGCGTTTATTGTGCTGGTTTTGGTTGGTGAGAGTGGGGCGTATACGGGCCATTTGCTTAAGAGGCTTGGCAGTACGAGTCGCGCGAATGTGATGGTTTACCTTGGGGAGGGGAGGCTTTTTGTGGGCTCGCATCAGGGAGACTCGCAGGTGGTGGAGATGGTCGAGGATGGGTTGAATGTTATCCAGACTTTCAGCAACCTCGCGCCCGTCTTGGATTTTACTGTCATGGATCTGGGGAATCGTTCCCCCGATGCGATTGTTAATGAGTTTTCGTCAGGTCAGGCGAGGATTGTTACGGGATCGGGGGCGTTTGCCGATGGCTCGTTGAGGTCAATACGCTCGGGTGTGAACCTGCAAAGGGTTGGGAGCCTTGGTGATATGGGAGCGCCTATCGAGGCCCTTTTCAGTCTACGACGTGGAGCAAGTGCCGATACCCTGCTCATAAGTTCGGCTGCTGGGTCACGAGTCTTTTGCTTCGACTCAGAAGGGAACGTAAACGAAGCTGATGCCCTTGGTGGCTTGGTTTTGGACGAGCAAACCGTCTATGCGGCAAACGTTGATGATCTTCTCATCCAAGTCACCCCATCTACCGTTCTAGCAACAAACCTGGAGGACGGCGTAGCTTTTGATTCGTGGCAGCCTCCGACGTCGAAGAGCATCATAGCTGTTGCGGCGGTTGGGGAGAAGCTGCTGATTTCGATCGAGGGAACTCAGTTGATTGTCCTGGCTCTCGAGAATGGACACTTCAATGTGCTGGCCGAGAGGACATTCGACGACGATAAGCAAGTCTCATGCATCGCATTCTCACCGAGTGCCCCGAATGTTTGCTTTGCCGGGTTCTGGTCCAGCGGCGAAGTGTCTAGCCTAGATGTGAAAACGTTGGATACTATTGCAAGTCAACGTGTTGCCGAAGGCGAAATTATCCTTCCACGCTCCCTGGCAGTGACCCAAATAGTGTCGAACCAGCCTCCTACACTCCTCGTAGGCCTTGCAGATGGCACTGTGGTTAGTTACCTTATCGAGTCCGCCGAGCAGCCTTTTGCAGCCCGGAGAAGCATTATCCTCGGGGCACAACAACCAGAGCTCGCCATCATTCCTCGTAGCGACTCTGGAACGGAAAACGTCTTTGTCTCTTCGGAATACTCGTCCCTCATATACGGGTCAGAAGGACACATTGCGTACTCTGCCATCACCGACGAAGACGCACAGAGGGTCTGCAGCTTTGACTGTGAAGCTTTTCCTGGTGCAATTGCCATGGCGGTCGATTCAGAAGTGAAATTGGCCATCATCGGCGAGGAGCGCATAACGAAGATTCAGACTTTAAAAGTGGGCGAATCCGCACGCAGGATGGCGTACAGCGGTGCCTACAAGGCCTTTGGGCTGGGCTGCGTTAAACGGAGCATCGTTGGTGAAGACGAAGTCCTAGAAAGCCACTTCAAGCTCGTCGACGAAGTCACGTTCAAAGTCCTTGACACATACCCCTTTAACCCGGACGAACTGGTCGAAAGCGTGATTCGATGTGCGTTCGAAGATGAAGACACTGACAATGCCAGAGACCGGTTCGTGGTGGGAACCGCACGTCTCGACGACAGCGAACCGGGGGCGAACGAAGGCGGAATATACATATTCGAGATCGACGCTCAACGCAAGCTGAAAGTAGTGTGTGTGCATAACACGTATGCCCCGGTTAGATGTCTTGGCATCTGCCACGACCACATCGTAGCTGGTCTGGTCAAGACGGTTGTCATATACGAATCCCGCACGGAATCCAATGGTCTTAGGCTCAGTAAGAAAGCAGCCTACCGAACCTCTACAGCACCGATCGATCTCTGTGTGAGCGCTGATCACAACACCATCGCCGTTGCCGATCTAATGAAATCCATAACCATCCTCAACTTTGACCCCGCAACTTACGACTTGACTGAAACCTCTCGACACTTCGACTCAATCTGGACAACAGCCGTAGCGGCCGTCGGCCCTCCAGCAGGAGAAACTACCCCAAGCTACCTCCTCTCTTCTGCCTCAGGTCGCCTCATCCTCCTCCAATCCAACACCACAGGCGCCACGGCCCTTGATCGCCGTCACCTCGAGCCCATTAGCGAAATGTCCCTAGGCGAGGCCATTAACCGCATCCATCCGCTATCCCATAACCTCCACCCCACCTCCTCAGCCATCGTCCTACCCCGCGCTTTCCTCGCTACCGTCAACGGCGGGGTCTACATCTTTTGCCACATTGCCGAAGGGAAGAAAGATCTCCTAATCCGTCTCCAAACAGCACTTGCGCGGAGAGTCACTTCGCTGGGCGGTCTTTCGTTTAATTCCTGGAGGGGCGGCGGAAACGAATCTGGCCCTGTAAGGTTTGTGGATGGTGAGCTCGTTGAAAGGTTTTTGGAAATGGATCCGGAAATGATGCAGGAAATCAGTGCAGAGGTCGACATGGACAGTGTGAAGGTTCGGGAGATTGTAGAGGAGTTGAGGAGGGTTAGATAGACCCGTGTATGATTAATGGTAAAAAGAGGATACGGTTTTTTTTTTTTCTTTCTCGGGTGTACAATGTCCTTTGCTAGGTGGAAATAGCATTTTACAGTGCATATCAAACTGCCATGAACAATAACCACCTGTGGTTTGTGTGAATTCCGAGAGAGAAAGATTATCCCCAATCCCTGGCACATTTCGTTTCCCAATCGTCCTTCTCGAATTCATCCATTCCACTAGTTTCACTCGCATGCAGAAATATAGTTCTACGAACGACCCATGAACGTTGCCATCACCATCCTCAATTTTCATAACAAACAAATACCTCTCTCTCATCTCCAACAACATGAAAACGGTTCTATAGTGTAGCGGTAAGCACGCTGGATTTTGATACAAAAGTTCCAGAGACCCCGGTTCGAACCCGGGTAGGACCTTATTTTTGTATATCTCCGCCAATTTTTTTTGCATGCATAACTATCATCTACGAAGAAGGAAAGCAGCAAACTGTGGTTGTTTTCTATTATTCGTCGTTGCGGCCAAAACCTACGGTAAAGTGGATGCTGCACGCGGGGTTAATTCCGCGTATGGGGATTATTCAGCGGGTGTTGCAAGATCAACCCCGCGTGCTAGATTCATAGAGGGGCAAAAAATGCCGAAGCGGAATCGTGGGTATGAGGATAAGACGAAGGGTGGGAGGGTGAGTAAGAAATCTAAGATGGAAGAGGGGAAGGGAGGGAGGGATGCTTTGCTTGGGAAGGGAAAGGGGAAGGGGAAGGGGACTGCTTCGTTTGGGAAGAGGAAGAGTGGGAAGAATGGGAAGAAGGATACGCGTGGGCAAGAGAAAGGAGGCGTCAGGGCGTCCGCTCAAAATGTGGTGAGGGATGAGGCAGAAGGAGGGCCGGGTGAGAAACCTGTGGACGAGGAGATTGCGCCGACGGTATCCACTCCGACGATACTCGCTACCGCGCTCGGTGAGGAGAGTGAGCTGCCCATAGAAGATGATATCACGCCTAAGCCGAAACCAGCTGCTCCGACGGTGACCTCTACCGCGCTCCTTGGGGGGTACGAGAGTGAAGAGGAGGTTAACGATGCGATGGAGGAGGAGGGGCGGGGGGATCTTGGTGGGAGGATGAGGGTTGTTGTGGGGGATGATGATGAGGAAGAAGAGGAGGAGGAGGGACGGGGTGACCTCGGCGGAGAACCGAGAAACGATGGCGAGCAGGAGGGTCTGAATGCCGAAGAAAAGAAAGATCCCTCCGATGATGAAGAGTCAGCAGGGGCATTCGAATCCGCAAGAGAAGCGTTCAGTCATGACGACCACTCCCCCGCCGAAGACGCAAAGACCAGCACCATCGACACATTATTCGCCAAACGCGAACCGCCCAAATCAGCCCTCGAACAAGCCAAAGCAGCACGCAAATCGGGCGTTGTGTATATGTCCCGCGTGCCGCCATACATGAAGCCGCATACGCTTCGCCATTTCCTCACTCCTCACGCACCTTCAGGACTAGGGCGCATCCTCCTCATGCCGGAAACGCGTGCCGCGCGGAGGTTACGCTTACGCAAAGGGGGGAATAAGAAGAAGGTTTTCACCGATGGATGGATCGAGTTTGTGCGTAAGAAAGAGGCCAAGGCGGCTGTTGAGTTGTTGAATGGGAATATCATGGGCGGGAAGAAGGGGAATTTCTACCATGATGATTTGTGGAATTTGAAGTATTTGACGGGTTTCAAGTGGAGTCATTTGACGGCGCAGATTAAGGATGAAGAGGCTGAGTTTGAGGAGATGATGAGGGAGGATTTGAGAAGGATGAAGGATGAGCACAATAAACTTGTTGCGAATGTGGAAAAGGGGAAGATTGAAGCGAGGATTGAGAAGAAGAAGGGACGTAGAGATGGGGCCGTGAAAAGATCGTTTAAACAAAAGGAGGGGAGGAATAGAGATGAGGAAAAGGTTGAGGAGGGGTTGATGCCTGCTTTGGGGAGGATTTTCTAGCCTCATTGGGATCGTTTGAGTTGATCACTAGATGTGTTTCCTTATCATCACCTTCTCAATAACAATAATAACCGATATTCAAGCTTCGGGGCATTTTTGGGTGTCTATCCGTGGTTCCGCCTCACCTCCCCCACTCCTGTCATACTGACATAGCTCGGCCCGTGCCGGACAGGTGCATCGTGATCTCATGCGGGGCAGCGATCATGCACAACCATTTCTAGGGCCAGGTGCCTGCCTATCCAATTTCTCTCCAACCCAAAATGCGAACCATCATCCTCCCCATGGGCCCTCCCGGCTCAGGCAAAAGCACACTAACCAACGGCCTGCAACAATTCCTGACAGCTCTCGGCCGACCCTGCGACGTCGCCAACCTGGATCCTGCAAACGAAAACATCCAATACACCTGCATCTTTGACGTGCGGGATCTCGTCAGCGTGCAGGAAGTCATGGAGCAGCACGGCCTAGGCCCAAACGGCGGGGTTCTCTGGGCTATGGACGAAGTCGAGCATAATCTCGAGGAGTGGCTACTCCCACGAGTGGAAAACTGCTCAGAGACCCTAATCCTCGACCCTCCCGGCCAACCGGAACTGATGATCCATCATACCGCCCTCCCCCGGATCCTGGAAAGGCTGGAGAAGGAGGGTAATCGCGTGCGTGATTTCTGAAATGATACTGCCAGTGACTCATACCTATAGGTTAGATTGTCGTCGTGCAGCTTATTGATTCGGTGGTTCTTACCAGACCGTCGCTCTATCTCAGCAGTTTGCTCATCTGTGTGAGAGGGATGCTGCACCTGCCGTATCCGTTGGTGAACGTGCTCACGAAGATGGATAATCTCAAGGCTGTGGGAGGTGCGGATCTGCCGTTTAATCTTGATTTTTATACGGAGATGCAGGATTTGCAGCTTCTGATCCCCGCGTTGGAGGCCGAGCAGGCTGATTCGATGGTTGGGATGGGAAGTGAGAAGTGGAAGGGGCTTAATGAGGCGTTGATTTCTTTGATCGAGGATGCGGGGTTGCTGGGTTTTGAGACGCTGGCAGTTGAGGATAAGGCGTCTATGGCTTCACTGGTTAAGGCGATTGATAGGGCTAGTGGGTATGCGCTTGCTGGGGCACGCGCGACAGATGAGTTTGGGCGTACGCTGCAGGATGAGACTAGTGTGTGGGCTCAGGCTATGAGTGATCATTGGGCGGGAAAGTTGGATATTAGAGATGTGCAGGAGAGGTGGATTGATAGGAAGGAGGAGTTCGATGAGATGGAACGGAAGGCATGGGAGGAGGAGGCCCGTCTCGCGGGGGCGCTGGATAAGGATGGGGATGTGCCTGTGGATGAGGAGGAGGATCCTCTTATTGCTGAGCAGAGGAAGTGGATGGAACAGCAGAGCCAAGGTACCAAGGTTGTGAGGAAATGAGGGAGCTAGAACACAACGGTCTACTGTATTCCATATTACCCAAACCATCAATGGGAAATCCGCAGAGCTGAGCTCCACAGTCAACCGGTCAAAACTTTTTGATAGACACGATCGACCTAATTCCAGCTACCCAACCTAAACTTCCTCAACCACCACGGCGTCATGTGCACACCAGGCATCGGATGCGGCCTACTCGCCATGCGTCTGATACTTCTCACACGATCCATTCTCCAATCCAACTCACCGGGCAAATCCTCCTTATCGACCCACTTACTCCACCCAACCCTGAACTCAACCAGCCCTGGAGCCATAACAAGCATAACCTCAATGGAAAAAAAAACGCCCCTCTTCTCCGTCAACTCAGGAGGAATCCGACGCCTCATCATCCCCCGATCCGGCATCCTATCCGATTGCTGCAGCCAGCACGTCTTTAGATTAAAAAAAAAAAAAAAAACTCTGGTCGCCCCAAAAGGATATCCAATAGAAATTTGTGATGGAATCTACCCGTAATGCAGCAGTCAGTGGGTTTTGGACAGTTCCGAAGGCGCGTTCCGTTATGGGGACGCGGGTATCTAGCTCCCAGCAGAAGGTTGTCAAGTTGGGTAGGCATGAGAAGAGGTCTGCGAGGTCTTGGGTCTTGTATGAAACTTGGGACGCCCCATTTTATTTGGTGCATGGGCTCGCGGCCGAATTCGAGGGTTTGGAGATTTGTAAGCGTGCACAAGCGCGAGATGTCGGTTGAGGAGTATCGTCTGCCGTCGTAGAGGCGTAGGACTTCCAAGTTCGAGAGAGAGAAGATGCTGTCAAGATACTTGTGCATCGCGTCGTGGACATGTAGTGTGAGACTGAGTGTGGTGGGGACGAGCTCAGTGGCGGCTGCTGCGTTGGCTGAGGTCGTCACCAGTTCCAGTGCCGTGATGGCCGCGAAGAGGACCGTCGCCGCTGGTTTAAGTGTCGGAAGGGATGCGCCAGTGTCGCTTCTCGACCCGTATCTCAAATTACTCAGGTTAGGATGATTGGTAAAAAGTGGTATGACAGCGTCCTTGGCACTGGAAGGGAAATGATTGGGTCCGGTGCGTCTGTCGTAGAGGTCATCACCTGGAAGGTACCTCCCGCTCTCGATTCCGATATAATTACAACTGTTTGAACCCTTTAAGCGGATTTACAGCCTGTCCAGCTGGTGGCCAGGCTTTGAGTATCAACTTCTTCAGGTTAGGCAAGTAACTAGGCAAAACTTCGACCGAGTCTTGGCGAGGGTCCTGTATGCACAAGGATCCTAGGCTTGGCTAGAGAGTTTTTGTAGATAACTGTGGTGTCCCTCCTAGATTGGGATGAAATTGTCCAGTTCAAGGTGTTTGCTGAGGGAAGCATAGGGTGGCAATCAGGTGAGTGTGCTCTTGTTGCTGCGTGTATGACTTGGGCACGAATTCAGGTCGAAAGATTTCTCCAGCACGGTATTTCATGCGATCGGCTGTGAGCCTGAATAACTTCTGAAAGTCGGTATCGTACCAGAGCAGAGTGAGAACCTCGTCCGCCCATGCTTTGTAGACACGCCAGATTATGCGCAGTGAAGATTTGTCGACTTGGTGTATTATGTTCAACTGGAGCTCAATCGGGATGTGCATCGTTCTCGTTCAAAAAGATTTGGTGGTTGTCAAGCCTGGGTGGATTTTTGATCGTGTGCTCAAAATGGGAGAATTTCGCCCTGACTGACACCCAACCTGTCAAATCAAAAAAAAAAAAAAAAACGCACTCCTCAAATCGTGAGCAACACAACACCCCGCACAGAAGGCCGGAAGGGTCCACCAAAAAAGAGCACTCCCCCGGGTGGGCTCGAACCACCAACCTTCCGGTACAACTATTATCGCAATAACAGCCGAACGCGCTAGCCAATTGCGCCACGGAGGAATTTGTACTCAAAATTTGAGCAACATTGCATAGATACATACTCTCACTACCCTCGCTAGCGCAGACAATTACCGCACCCCAACGTAATGAACACACGAACATCGCGCTGGTCGGCACAGCCG